GGGGCTCCGGATCAAGGAGGGCCCGGTGGAGGCGCCGCGGGGCCGCGCCGGGGGCGCCGCGCGCCCGCTGGGCGAGTTCATCTGCCAGCTGTGCAAGGAGGAGTACGCCGACCCGTTCGCGCTGGCGCAGCACAAGTGCTCGCGCATCGTGCGCGTGGAGTACCGCTGCCCTGAGTGCGCCAAGGTCTTCAGCTGCCCGGCCAACCTGGCCTCGCACCGCCGCTGGCATAAGCCGCGCCCCGCGCCCGCCGCCGCCCGCGCGCCGGAGCCCGAGGCTGCCGCCAGGGCCGAGGCGCGCGACGCCGCGGCCAGCGACCGCGACACGCCGAGCCCGGGCGGCGTGTCCGAGTCGGGCTCCGAGGACGGGCTCTACGAGTGCCACCACTGCGCCAAGAAGTTCCGGCGCCAGGCCTACCTGCGCAAGCACCTGCTGGCGCACCACCAGGCGCTGCAGGCCCAGGGCGCGCCGCCGCCGCCGCCGCCCGCCGAGGACATCCCCGCCCTGTACCCGGGGCCCGAGGAAAAGGCTCCCCGGGAGGCCGCGGGCGACGGCGAGGCGGCCGGGCTGCTGGGCCTGAGCGCGGCCGCCGACGGCCACCCGTGCCCCGTGTGCGGGGAGAGCTTCCCCGGCAGGGGCGCCCAGGAGCGCCACCTGCGCCTGCTGCACGCCGCCCAGGTGTTCCCCTGCAAGTACTGCCCGGCCACCTTCTACAGCTCGCCCGGCCTCACGCGGCACATCAACAAGTGCCACCCCTCGGAGAACAGGCAGGTGATCCTCCTCCAGGTGCCCGTGCGCCCCGCCTGCTAGAGCGCGCCCCCGCCCCCGGCCGCCAGAACTGTGCCTTCGCCCGGAGACCCACAAAGGGAGCGCGCCCCCGCCCCGCCCCGCTCCGGGGCGTCCGGGCGCGATGGGAGCCCCGTCGGTCCTCTCGCCGGGACCCCTCTCGGACCCCACCCCCTGCGCGTGGTGTCCCCCGCCCGGCCGTGGCGCAACAGGAGTCCGTCTCCTTCTTACAGGGGAGAAAAAACAAAAGCTGTATGCGTTCGTCTCGTGGTTGGAAGCCTCCCCTTGAGGGGCGAAGCTGTTTTTCATGCTAGTGTTCTTCGCTGTGTTCATGGTGTAGAAAATGCGGTTTGCTCTGCCTACCAGTCTCGCTCGCGATGTCTGTAGCGTACGGGTTGTTTTGGGTGAATCTTGAGAAATAAATGCCTTTATATTTCACAGGCTGTAAAATCGAACTTCCCACACGATTAGCTTTATTATGGCTTGTGAACTGCTGGAGTCTGGCTTTACCTTTTTGTATGTGAACAAATCAAATTGCTTAAAAAAAAAGAGTTTTCTTTAGTATAGCCACAAATGCCTTGACCTGTTGTCTGTTGGGGATTTTTTTTTTTTTTGGGGGGGGGGGAACGTTCACGACACGCTGTAGTAGCTGCCTCAGTATTTTTCGGAAGACGTTTTGGTTTGATCATCTTTGTTGAGGTAGGGCTATATGAGTTCCCTTTACATGTATATGTTGATTTATGCGTAATTGTTATTTATTCTTTATTTATTTATATTAATTATGAAGATTATGATATTATTTGATTGCAGATTCTTCTTTTTTGTGTGTGAGCTTTCCCCCTGCCACTTTTTGACATTTCACTGTGCATTTTAGGAAAGAACCTTTTTTCTAGAGGGGTCTGCTGAGAGTTTTAACTTTTCTATCTATCTGAGGGACTTACAGACAACGTACCATTTTATTCTGCTTGAGGGGCCCCGAGGCCCTTGTACAACCGACAGCTCTTACTTTTAAATGCAATCTCTTTTCTACATACATTATTTTCTTAATTGTTAGCTATTTATAGAAAGCTTCGATAGAACTGTTTCAACTGTATAAATATTTACTATTCAAATAAAATATTTTCAAAGTCAAAAATACTGTGGTCTTTTTTTCTTTCTTTCTTTTTTTCTTTCTTTCTCAGTATCAAACAGTTCCTTCCAAAGAGGATCTCAAATAGATTTTAAATGGTGGTCTTTAGTAGTTTCTTTAAAAGGCCCTTGTTTCTCTGGTTAGGAAGAACTCCTCCCCTCTCCTAAGAGTCGGGGCTTTTCCACAGGAGAACCTGTGTGTCTTAGAGTCTGCCCTTTCTTACAGAAATGTACTAGCCAGTGAGATAGAGCAAGCCAAAGCAGCCTTTCAGGATGGGGCTAACTAAGCAATCAGAAGAGCCTGCCTTTTCCCCAGCAGACCCAGGAACCCCATTTTTTATTTATTTATTTTTTTTAGCATATTCTTCCTTGGTCTGTAATTTGGGGTTTCAGGTGACGGCCATCCCTCAAAGTGGGGGAGATTTTTATTACGAAGGACGGAGTGGAAGAGGGCGGAAACTCTGCAGATGGGGTGACACGAGTTAGCTGGTTTGGAGAGAGGGCTCTAAAAGAAGTTTCCAGTCAGGTGGGCCATCGGCGGGAGCAGGGGCAGGGGCGAGCGAGTGGACACCATCTGTTTGGGGTATTAAATTTAATAACAGGTAATTACAATGTTTTCCGTTATCCGTCACTCAGCTCTTTGAAGAACGGCTCTGTTGATCACTCACAGTCTGAAAAGTGCGGTTAAGGGGCAGAGCCACGATTCACAAATGAGTGTGCCCTTCATTTTGTGGAGCTCTGCCACCTTCCTCCTAATGCCCACTCGGCCTTCCAACACTTTTGTCCTCCAAAGAGAAGTGAGAGGCCTACGTAAAGGGATCTGCCTGGGAGAGCTGTTAAGGGGCGGGCAGGGAAGCAGGAACTCGGAAGGAGATACGGGACCCTTAAAGCTTTCCCTCTGAATCTCCCTCCCCCGCCCCCAAGCTCCAGGCCAGTGTGTGGATGTTCAGTGGCGGCAGAACTTTTTTTTTCTCCTAAACATGAAGTCTGGCCCCCCTTGACAAGTCCAGACCTGTCGTCAGAAACAGCAGCTGCCATCTGTTTTTGCCCTTGACCACAGGGTGTGAATTCACCACTGCTCACCTTTAAACATGCAAATGTGACTAACTTGTTCGTGAGTGGCCCTCTGTCGACGGGGGAAATTCTTCTAGTTGAATGGATATACCACTTCTCCAAAATAAAAGCCAAAATCCTGTTCATGTGCGCGGCCTTCTAAGAGAAGCTGCACAGTGAACAGAAGTGAGTGAAGTTGGCCCTGGAGCGTCGGTGAAGAGCATTGGTAGACGGATTCCAAAGTGATACGCTAGCTAAGATCCCTCCCACCACAAGGAAAGGCAGCCTTCCCCTCTTGGTGGAGAGTGGGAAAGGGTACCCTTCTTTATGCCGTTTCAAAGGCAGGCTGTGGTTCTGAGGTCACTGCAGTATCCAGTATCGGGAGGTTATTAGTGGGAGCCCACTTCATGATTTCCCAAGTTAAACCACAGTGGCAGCTTGGAGATGAGAGAATCGGGGGTCAGGGCTAGCAACGTGATTAAGGACAGAGGGGCTCAGAGAGGGACCAATGAAGAAGTTGCTAGCCCAGTTCTTTATTTCTGTTTAGACTGAGCAAAATAAAAAAGCAAGAGTGTGTTCTGCACTGCTTTGGAGCCAACATGAGCCTGTTCCTGCAACAGCGGAGAGGCACCGGGCTGACCTCACCGCCGTCGTTGTCCTGAGGGCCAGGTCACTCGCGGGCTTTGCTTCGCTGAGGCTGAGGCTGGGGCAGTTTAAAGGGGACCTGAGCAGGAATGCTGAGTGTGCTTTTTCCGAACACCAAAGCTGCAAGTCCTGCCTTCTTGGTAGCACCATGGACAGAGGAGATCACGCCTCTCAAATGCCCAGAACGCCGGCCAGTTTCAGTCTAGACGGAGACTGGCTGGACTCCAGCCCTGCGAGTCCAGTGGTGCGCCGGGGCATGGTAGGTGCCTCGTGGAGACCTGGGCGCGCCCAGTCGGCCAGGGCAGTGCTACCTGTGTGGCGTGTCTGGGGGTAGCGCGCTGCTGGAGAGGGTGCAGCGCTTCTCCTTTGTCCCTTTGCTCTGTTGCTGGTACTTAGTACCCTACGTCAGTGCCTTCCTCCCCTCAGTTGACTCATCCCATCCTTTTTATAAAAAAAAAAAAAATCAAAACAAAACACTGCATCCTACAGCTTTCCACAGAATCAAACCAGACAAAGCAGAAGGGCCTCTTAATCCAAGAAAATGAATAATTCTGGAGGAATTTCTTCTTACAAACAAGGAGAGGGTCCCTAGTGAGGGCTGTCCAGGCTCTGTAACTTTAGTCCGTATCACTGGATTCCTCTAGGCTCTGTGTCTTTGCCTGTCAACCTGAGATCACCCTGGGTGAGTGGGGGTGGGGGTGCCATGAGGCATTTCCGGGACCATTCTAAAGTCTGAGAGATAAAAGACAGCTCAGATCCCAGAGGGGCCCAGTGTTCTTCGCACAGGAAGCAACCTCTTTGTCCCAACTGCTCTTCCCTGCGACGTCTAGAATTTGTTGTAAACCTGCCAGCCTGTAGCAGACTTAGTCTGAAGGAAAGTTGCTGTCTTCAAACAATTTTCTGGCAAGAGTTATCTGTTAGCTTGTTATGGGGCCAGGTTAAGATAGCCTTTTTGGCACGTCAGCTAGAAGAAGCCACGATGTTTGGTGGTTGAGGCCACAAGCTGTGGGATTTTCAGAACAATAAGGAAGCAGAGCTGTATGGAGAAACCCAGGGGCTGAAGCCACCTGCAGAATTAACAAATGCAATAACCCTGATTCTATTTGATCAGCAAGAGCATGAAGCTATAAAGGAATCAGACTTCAGCCCTGAATCTGTGTTCTAGTAAAATAGCCTCAGCAACAAAAAGTAAGACTCAAGAGTGTGTGTGTGTGTGTGTGTGTGTGTGTGTGTGTGTGTGAAAGAGAGAGAGAGAGGACAAATGTCCCTGTGAGTTTCACCTTATCTTCTATTGAGAAGTCAGTGTGTGCTCATGACGGGCCTGCAGGACTCTGAGAGCATTCACAGTGAAGGCTGGTGTGCTCTGTCACTCTTGAGCAGTCAGAACAGACACAGCAGCAGCACAGGAGAAGTTCAGAAATAAGAGCTGCCCTGTAACTCAGGGGGACTCACCCTGGGCGGACAAGAGCACGGCCACCCAGTGACCCCAGAATGCAGAATGATCCAGACACTGTCACAATGGAAGGCCAGAGCAGTCTCTGCTGGGAGTCCTGGGTTTCTGCGCCCCAGAGATCAACCTTGCTTGGCACTTGTGGAGAACACAGAGGCACTGGAGCAGGGCGGCAGAGGACCGTACTGTCTGTGCTTCTGATGAGTGGAGGAATCTCTTGTTTCTTGCCAGGTGGTCTTGGGAAGTCCTGTCTTCTTCTAAGGTTGTTAAGGAAATAGTAGATTAGTCATTTTCAACATCCTCGCCCTGTGCCACTGACTGACTCCCCGTTTCGAGTCACTGAAGCAAGAGGGTTTTCTCTGGCCAGGCAAGAGGGTTTTCTAAAGAGAAACAAGTCCTGCTTTTTGAATACACTTTTTTTTTTAAATGAGCAATCACAGGGAGAAGTTCCTTGAAATTAGACATGATACTGAAACAACCCAGCAGCCCAAGGGAAAGGTGTCTCCAGCAAGGAATCCAGGATAGACCTTTGGAGGGAGGGAAGTTGATTTCTCATAGGGATGAGAGGAAAAGGAGTCTGGCTTGTAGAGTTGTCATTCACAACTATTTTAGATGGATTTTATTGACCCAGTTTGCATTTTGTTATTCTAATAGAGGCCTGGGCTGATGCACTTCTCCGAATCGCAGAACAAGCTGAGCACACGCTTTAAAGCCTGTTAACATATTCTAATGAACCCGAACATTCGCCCCTTCATCTCTTAAGCCCTGAGTGCCTGTCATCCTTTGTCTACCAGATACTTTTATGTGGGCACACTGCCCAAGGAACATGGGACTACCCAGGCTGTGCACACTTCCTCCCGCATGGTAAGCAGATGGGTTATGGGTGAAGCATCCGAGCTTGTCTTGTTTGAAGCTTTCTGTGCTGTGTGGTCTCCCTGGTTGCATTTCCACACAAAGCATCAGCACTTCTGTTTTCAGTTTTTATTTTAATTTTTTTTTCCTCTGTTAACTCATTGCAGTGAGCCCACACTGGAGGGACAAGCCATTCCAAACTGAAATGAAACTTCTAGAATGTTTGTGGTAGGAAGAGCGCTCTCTAAGGCCTGACTGTGAAAAGCGTGTCTTCCAAGCACGCTGCCACACCAGCCATGCTCCCAATAGGCTGCCCACAGCGCTCATCCATTTTACCATTGTACCTCCCTGATAGCACACATCCACAGTCCCTTCCACTTGGCTTGAGCCTGTAGGCTAAGCAGAGTGTAGCAGGGAGACAACACTGGAAACTTCGGCCGTAATTCATTGCTCTCCTCTTTCACTCATCAGCAAAGGCCTTTGATTGAGTTGACACCTGCTCCGTCTCTGCTATGAAGGGCCAGAGCCCCACTGCAGTGTCCTCTTCCTGAACACCACAGCCAGATGACAGTCACACCTGAGGCTGGCAGAAGGCAGAGCAAGCATAGATGTCCAACCCAACAGGGCACAGCAAAGGCGTTAGTGCAGGGAAGAGCAGAGTTCTGAGAGCGGCTCTTTCTACCGCAGAGAGAAAAATCAGGCTACAAGTTTCTGAGTACAAAGAACAGAAAGAATGGGTGACTTAGGTCAAAACACGTGTGCTCAGCTTGCGTCATCTCTTATTGTCCACCAGCTACATAACGTGTGAAACAAGCTGCTACCATTCTGGAATACAGATGCAAGGAGGCGCTGGCTAGTTTTCCACGAAACGGGAAACTGTCTCCCAGCTGATTTCACTACTATTGCCATGTTCACCACCCCATCACGGTTGCTTTAGGCAAAGCAACCATCACCCGATGCCCATAGATCACCGCAGCCATCTCAGCAGGGGAGTGGGCTGC